CACAGCTGAAAATCACCTAACCATATAATACTGCCTACACTTAGCTATCAATACTTGTGCTTCATCAGGAAGGCATTTCTTCTAATCATGTTGCTTTCAAGGACTACAAAGTTCTGGGCTCAACATTTTACCCAGGTCAGTGCTCTACAGAATCAAACATTTTCTCATTGCCAGCTGGCAAAATTTCAGTGATTTCTTCAGGTATTTCAACATAACAGCATTTGAGATGAGTAGGCTTTTTTCCCCCGCTAGACTTGCATTGCACAACATAAGGGCACCATAAACTATTTGCTCTCTGGTTCCACATAAAGCACTTCAGATTTCTTCTGAAGCCTTGGAGCTCTTTGGAAGACAAGTGTTCCACAATGGTAAGTCAAAGATTTAGATTTATCTTTTTTACATGGGGATATAAATAGGTTATTTCCTTTCAAACTGCAAAAGAAGGATAGTTAAGATGTTAACTAGTTACACATTTTAGATGTGGATATTTTGTATTTAAAACTGCAAGATGCAAAGAAAGCAAGAAATCTTTGTGAAGATTACTTTGAATTTTGTTCTTTGTTCTGTAATTCTTTGCAAGAAATTTTATAGATATATCTCTTAGTCTTTTACTTGCTGTTATCCTTTCCTCAGACATGTTTGTGAACACAGTAAGAATTTTGCAAACATTTAGGACCATGCTTTTAAAGCCTATAAATATGAAATACGGTTTAACATTTAGTCCCTTTACAATGAAAAAAATTTGTATTTTGTTTGCTCTTCTCCTCTGATCTCTCAAGCTGTTCCTGTTTCAGCTCTTCAAGCCTCCATATGTGTTTGCAGAATCTGTATCAACAGTTAGGCAATGCAAAATAGACAGACAAAGGCCTTTGGCCCGCTTTTCCTCTAATTTGTGCTCACGTAATCCCCAAAGGTACAGACATCAATTACTAGCTTTGATGAGAATCTCAGGAATGGCATAAGTTGTACAAAAGAGGCAGTAGTTTCTGCCAGTGCTTTCTTACCTGTTTGCTACCCTTTGTGCTTAGCCTGCTTAAATGTGGGCCCTTTTATTTCTGGCTTTCTGTTGTTTAGCTGACATATGCTTTGGTTGCTGCAGCATAAAGCCAGTTCAGACAGTGATAGGACAGCACAGACTTCCCCTGATGTTTTTATTTAGATTCAGTGGAAAGTCCAAAACTTTGATCTGTAGAGAGGGGAACGTACCCAAGTTCATCTGACTATCATATTTAGGAACAGCAGGACAAATGTTGGACCAAACAAAGGATAAAACCTTCACAGAAGACATCACAGTGAAAGAAGAAATTTAGCATTTTCTATAAAGACATGAGTGACATCAGTAAGACCTCCCTCTGGTAGAAGGGGCCTGTGCTGTTGCAAACACGTGAACTAGTTTGGAGGAAAGCCACCACCAAATTCTGGATGGATGTCTAATACACAGCAAGAAAACATGTTCAGATCCTCTGTGGAAAGCCACAATTCCCTGCACTCACAAAGCTCTGGACAGCTGCACAGCACAGATAGCCCCATATATCCATGCCAAATACACATGGAACCTCAACAGAGACCAGCTGCAATGTTACATCCTACAGCTTCACAGCACAAGAGCTGCTTAAACAATTTTCCTTTGCCCAGGCACCACAGAATAGCACAGTTCAAGGGTTTCAGTCTTTCTTCTTAACTTCTCTCATTCTGGCTATGGTGCTCAGCAAGGCAACTGCCTCTGTTTTAGCCTAAAACCTCAAGAACTCCAAATCACAGAACTATTATGGAAATCAAGCATTACATCCTTCCCAGACCTCTCCATAAACCCTTCCCCTCACTTTCACTACACCTTAAATGTCACTCAGCCCTATCAGAAAGCCGTATACCAAGGATTAAAACACCAAGTTTTCTCCGTAGCAGACAGAGGAATTTTGCCTTGGCTCATCATCTGTCTAAGGTTCAGGACCCTCCGGTGTCTTTTGGCATTCATGATACCACCAACCTAAGGTAGACAGCAGAGCTGCCTAAAACCAATGTCACTACTATTTTAACCCCCAGTTTCAAGTAGCAACAGCCTCTGAAGTTCAGAACAGTAACTTGGAAAGATCTACTCATTTTATAATCCTTTCATGTTAGTCTGGAAGTGCTGTCAAGAAAATGTAAATAACTTCCCCCATTGCTTCTCAGTCTCTGGCCATTCCTAAACTTTTGCCTTGAGTTATCCAGCTGGAGCAACCCGTCAGAACAACCCTGTGCTCTCTCATGCTTCTCCAGTCCCTTCTCCCCAGTACAACCATCATTACAAAGTTATTCAGGCTTGTACAAGAGTCCTGGTTGTCCAGCAGATCCAAGAGAACATATTTGAAGAACTCTTATAGATGTTTAGCTGTTGCCACCACTAGACAAAAGGAAGCGTGTACTGTGACAAGTCCAAACCTATGGCTGCATGGTTTGACAAGATGGCTCAGGTGATGCTAAACACAATGTACAGCACTCAAATTTTGCCCTAAGACACAAATTTGTATCTCTTCTCTACCCAGCCACCTATTTCAAAAAACCTACTGGGATATAATTAAACCTGACATCTCCACTCCACTGTCAGATTTGAAGAAATTGCTGTACCCAGCAGTGAAGCAATCCAAGGCTATACAGACAGTGATTTGCTGGAGAAATAGCTAAAGTTGATTCACAAGCAATGCATAAAGTACTGATACAGGTCCGATAGGGCTTTCAAGTGTGTGCTACTGTTGAAGTTTTTGTGATTTTTAGAGGTTGGACTTCAGCAGGGGTGATACTGCTGACACATTTATGTCATATCATTCTGTATCTTCCCACCTAAATAAAAAAAGTCATCAATGCAGTGAAATATCTGGAGTGTCCTTTCCAATATTTTCATGTACACATAAGGTTATTTCTAATTTTGGTTCAGGTTCAGTGGTAGCTTTTGAAAACACCGATAATCAATGTAGAATTAAATTCATGCCACAGGCTCTGTGTTTCTTTTACAGAAGAGCTTTCTGTCTTTCCTTGTTGCAATGGGCATCGTAGTGACCCTGGGTGATGCATACTGCTTTCATAAAATGAACAAGCCAGATGAGCCTAAGGACGGTAAGAACAGGGAAGGTCCTCCCACTTGATTGCTCTGTGGTAGCAGAGCTCTGTGGTGGCTCTATGTGTGCTGCCAGGAAGGGCTCAAAGTACAAGGGAGGGGGGAGATGTCAGAAAGACAGAAAAAGTACTTCCAGCACCAAGTTGCTCAAAGTAAGATGAAAAACAAAGTCTTTCCCTGGACTGAGTATGGTTACAGCAACATTATTGCTTTGGTGGGAGGTTGCTATTGCTATTCCAGCACATGGAGCTGATGCAGGAGTTGAGTAGTTCTAAATAAAGTCTGGTGCCAGGTGGCAGATGTGGCTGTTTGGTTGCTCACTTTGATCCCAGATCTGTCGCACTGAAACTATCTCTAACAAGTGAAAGAAAAACAAGTCCAGGCTCTCAAAATAGTCTGGGTAATAATCCATAGAACAAAATTGCTTCTACTTTACTATTTACAAGAAAAACATTTTCAGAAAACTTGAAGTACTTTTAAAACACTTTAGCGTTTATGCAAAGGCTTAAAGAACATGTTCTGTTTTGCTGCTGTCTTGTGCAGGCTGCATGTTGCATGGAAGGCTGTACCCCTTTGGGCTCACTGAGAGGACAGAAGATTGCTTCAGTTGCCGCTGCAATGCAGTTTCAATGAGATGCTGTTCCCTGTGAGTCTGGCTTCTTGGTACCATCATTGCCTGTAGAATGACCACATCTTTCCATTTGTAGGGGATAAAAGAGTTTCTAAGGACACAAGAGAACCTTTTCTCACCCACATCACAGAGCTAGTGAAAGCCACATATAGGTCTTGATCATTTGGATTCTTAGCTGTGTTTACCTTAGCTCACTTTCTGCTGACAGGGAGTGGACACAGACCCTTCAAGGCATATCCAGTTGGTGCCTGCCTTTCACGTTTTAGGAACTTTTGAACCCCTTTTCCACTGCAGTTAAGTCTTTCCTTAGCAGAGAAAGTGGGGTTAGGAAGGAATTAATTTCACAAATGACTTAAGTGAAGTTCCTCTAAAATGCTTATGATGATCTGAATCCCTTTCTGGAGGTGCTTTTCTCCAATGAACATGCTGCCCCTAGAATGAAAAGGCTCTGAAGTATCTTTCCAACATCCTCCTTTCATTTTATCCTGCCTTCTCAAAGGGTCAAAATGGCTTGATATTGATCTTTCCCTTTGTTTAGGTGACACTCCATCTATCAGGAAACAGCTACCACGTTCTAAGCAAACTGGAAACAGCAAAATATTAATGGAAAAAAAAGAGAAAACATGCCAAGTCACACTGTAGAGTGCTGTGCTAGAAATACCTATGCTACTGCTGAGCACAATGGTACATCTACACAGTACAGTGCAGCAAGGCATCATCTGAAGCCCTGGAAGCTGCAGCTCTGTGGCACTCAAGCTAGCTTAGCTGGCCTTAGCCATCGTTTCAGAGATACCTCATTCAGCATTAAGTCAAGCTACACTCACTGAAGTATTGAAACTTTTATTGCAGTCAAGCTAACGTTTGCTTTCTCTTTGCCAATTACAGCTTTCATACTCCTGTTGGTTATGACAGGAAGAACTGTAAAGTCGTTTTCAACAAAGAAACCTGTAACTATGATGTGGTGCGGAAGAATGACCCCTCAAAGGAGTGTGTGGTCTATTCCAGTATTGGCTAACATCTGCTCCAAACCTTTCTGCACTGTGGAATTCCTCCCTTTCCTACAGATGCTTTGCCATCACAGAGAAGCCCAAAGATATGGGAAATCTTGTGAAAGAGAGTACTTCAGCAGCTCCCTTCTAATCTCCTAATCGTTCTAATTCAGTATACAAGATGCATAATCACATACAATATCTCTTTTCCATCATTATTTGCATTGGTATCACTGTGCTTTTTTGACTACAATAAATCCAGATGAAACATCTATAAATGTGTCATAATGGTTGTTCTTTTTTTATGTAATGACATGGAGCAATGCCTTCTTTGAGAAAGGAATGCATTTGCCTCACTACTCTGACATGCTGTAAACTAGTACCCTGGCATAAGGCACTTTCAGAATTTGCAGGTTCTATTCTAGCCAGATGTCAAAATCCATTATCATTTGGAAGGGATGCACTGTGTGGGACATGCTGTACAATGACTCCTACTCAGGGCACATGGGAACACACCTGAACTGCTACAGGAATTTTGGTATGACCCATGCTGCTAACACCTCTGACAAAACAGTGAGGATGGAAGATTGTTATCCTTTTTCTCCCCTGCTTTTTTTTCCCCCTTATTCTGAACAATGTCATCACCCAATGGCAGTGACTGTTCATCTCCATTGCCCACTATGACCAGGTGTCCTCCTCCAAACCCAAGTCCTGAAACACACTGTGTTGCATTAATGGTTCTTTTTCACACTGAAAAAGAGATCTAGATCAGCCCCTGGAGACACATTTCCTCATGGCAGCAGAGCTCAAGGCACTAATAAAAGGCAGATGTCTTCTGTCTCTTCAGTACAAAAATTCTCCACATTCCCTGGAAAGTGAAGTCCAGCTTCAGAGCTGGGCTTCAAAACTGAGTCTTCCACCTGGGTACTGGTAATCTGCCCACATATAGGAGACCAGACAAAACCCTGTGAAATGCTGCTTCTGTCAGGCCTCTTTTCTCAAGAATTGGGTATTAAAAAGCCACAATGGACTGCAATAAACTGTTCTATTGTTTGAAAAGAAACATGCCTTCCAGAACAAGTGGACTGTTTAATGAAGCTCCATGATCACAAGTCTGTTCTCTTGTAAAAGTATGAGGTTACACACAGCTGAGCATTCTTAGGGCAAGTATCTTCACTTGGCCCAAAATCAACTCTCCACCTCTATTTATTCAACAGGGAGACTTGCTCCACAAGAGTATCCATCTAAAGCTCTGCCAGCTGTCAATAAAATCATGAGGATTTAATGCGGTGTATTTTCTCTGGCTTTGCTTTTGGTAATTTGCTTATGAACATTGTTTTAAACTTTTTTATGGCTCCACTAAAGATATCTCCTTTTGGGGGAAAAAAATCCAAGTACTTGGCAAGCACATACTTCACCTTTTAAAGTTCTCTGCTCTGCAGGCTGGATATCAGTCAATAGCTCTGTGTTTCTGTACAGTTGGTTCCTGCAAGGATGAAAAATGTGAGCGGCCAGAATTAGAGCCAGTTCAGCTTTTTTCAGTGAGAATATTTGCATAAGCCTTTTTAAAATCTGACTCCCATTCACTGATATAATCATGCCATTCCTCTAAATGCAGCATACGCAAATAAATGTTCTCACTTTGCTTAAGGTTCTAAGGTAGGTTTTCCCCAAAGAGGTTTTGTATTCTGCTGGAGAGGAATAGTTTTGAAACTTGTCCTGAATGACTTCTACGGTTCTCTGCCAGTTCATGTCAAAATTACACAGAACACAACCTCAGCTGATACCTGAAGGAATGTTCTTGCTTGCAGAACAAACAGCTGCAGCTTCTTAGGGGAAGTAATATTTTGAGCATGGAGATGAAAAGGCTTCTTATCTAAATAACTCATAGAACTGTTTCTTGAGAAAGTTTGGGTTTCATACTTTGTGGATTTTTTAATCCTAGTTTTAAAAATAAACAGTTTCATGAATAACAAAAATGACTTGGAGGTTCCTTGTGGATTATTTAGTTTGAACCACTGAGAAGTGCACACATCAAGATTAACACCCATTTTGTTGTGGCCTGGAACTATGTCATGTGATACGGAAATTATTTCAGAATTGAAAGTTTTCCCTACCAAAATCTTACAAAATAAGGCTACATTTTCTTCTAAAACTTATGAAAATTAGTTTATTATCTCCTAAGGTAACATTCATTTTCTTAATATTAGTAGCTAAGACTTAGATCTTCCTGTCCTTCTATGTGCCTTGCTTATCACTGATTCTTCATCCTGGCATCGTGACTTGACGGGATTTTCCAGGCTAGCTGAGAAACTATAATGTGTTCTAAAAATGCATTTGCACCTTGGCAAGAGGGAATTTCACTTACCCACAGAACTGTATGGGTTAAAAAATTGTTTCTCATCCCATTGAAATTGCATTGAATTAAGACTGAAATTTTTCTCAAGGCTGGGGACATTTCTACATGTGTAAGGAGAGAAAGTAAAAGAGTGTGTCCAGATTAGAGGAGAAATGGTATTCTTGTCTCCAGCTTGGGCCTCCCAGATTGAATTGAGACGTCAATTCAAATTTCTTGTATGCCACGTGTTACCTGAAACAAGTCACTCGCACAGCCTGTATACCTTGCTATAAAATTAACACCATTCTTTGCTCATTTCTATGCTGGGAGGAATCTGAGATAGGCTTTGAGGTTTGTGGTTATATGAACCTCAGAGCTAACAAAAGCATTCCCATCTAGGCAAAACTTCCTTCTACCACCTTTACATTATGTTTCTGTGTCAACAGTGCACTGTATATTTTAGTGTTGTTTGCTTGTGCCTTTCCTTAAAACAGACCTCCTTTCTCACACACAAATGTGTCAGACTTTGTTTAATTGCAAAACCAATGTACATGATACATAACATTGTCAGTTTAGAGTCAAGAAGAATTTATTTGCAAAATTGTGTTTGCTTGTGATCTGAGAGCTGATATGCCTCATGCTTCCTCTTGTTTCCTCCCTCTCAACAGTGATGAGAGTCAGTCTGCTGGTCTTAGTGACTGGATACACCAAGTGCTCCAAGGAGTTCTGCTCTTACTCTCTCCTGCAGAAAGCTGATCCCTCTCAAGAATGTAAGGGCAGTACAGAAGTACTGGGTTAAGAAACAAGGTTCTTGGACTGCTTTCATTTTTAGTGCATCTCTTCTGTTTTTTAATTGTTCACAGATACTAGCTAGTTTATTGGGCTATTTTAAGAACCTGCCTGGTCTGAAATTATGCTGAAAAAACAAAGTTGATAATCTTGTATTACTCTCATTGTCTCTATGGTCATCACTGAGATGCAGCCAAAAGTTCCAGCTGAAGAATGCTAAGCAAAAAGGGACTGTAATTGACTCCTTTGCTGTCAATTACTGTCCTATGTGCTTGGAAAGTGTGTCTGACATATATAGCCTCTACAGAAAAGGATCCATTTCTCCCTGGCTACAGGGTTTAAGAAAGAAAATATATGATGCCTGTTTTTCTCATAGAGGACTGAGCATATGGATCTTCTACATGATGGAAAACTGAACAAGAAAGAAAACAGTTATCTAGGACCCATTTTTTTAAACCCCAGATGGTTCAAACTAAGCATGCAAATTCTGTTGTGAGTGACAACCACTATTTCTCTAATGGGTTTCTTAGGGCAAGTGCTGAATATTCCTTCCAAGCTTGAAATTCCTTTCAAAGTACTTCCTATAATTGCCTTCCAGATCTGGTGTGGCATAAAAGCCACACCTATTTCTTCTGTGCATGTTAGAACAAACCTTCTGTATCTAATAGCCTTATTTTAATAATGTCCACCCCATGAGGTCATTTTGCAGGAACATCATTGGCGCAAGACATGCATGGTCAGTTTACTCAAGGACTGTTATCACAAATTCCCTCTCTATATAAGTTCTCTAAGAAGATGAGCTTCCTACAGGCAATCTCCTTACTGAAAGCCTCATAATTCTGCAAAAATGGTGAGTCCTTACATCTTATACTAAAAAGACAGTGGTATATTGCTTTAGATTTTAAAGGACTTTCTGTTGGATTTATCTCAGTAGTTGACTATCTAAGCAACTTGGAAAAAGTATAAATACTGTGTTATAAGAGCAAGAGTCAGACAGAGGCACAGGTAGGTGAGAATCTTGAGTAAAATAAACCAGCACATATATAGCAGGAGATGTCTAAGAGAGTCCAGCTAAGGCTTTATTAATACCTCTTTTCACTTATATGTAATGTTTGGGGCTAATCTCTTTTCTGGCAGAAAGTAGTTCTGTTGAATTTCAACCTAGAATTGGCCTTCATTTCTGTGAAAAGTCTGGATAATATCTGAACATTTAGTTAAACTCAAAAACATTATCTTGATTTTTACTCCTTTGCCTCTCTGTTGCAGTTTTGTGGGTCTTAATCTCTCTTCTGCAAAATAAAATGCTAGGTTTGCCTCCTCTCATTTCTCAGGGGGAACTTCTTTTCATAAGTCACCAGTTCTACTCTGTCTGAAACAGAAACAAGCACATACACTAAATGTGATGTGTATGTGATTGTTTACTACTGGTCTACCTTTCCTCTCTTACCAAGCTTTTAAATTAATCACAGCTAATGCCATCTTAGAATTCCTTTGTTTATTTCCTTCCTACCCTCAATGAAAACCCTTCAAATATTTCAAACTTATATTGAAGGGTAAGACACTAGCTGAGGAACTTCAGCTGAACTTTCAGCAAGAGCTGCTGACAAAGTTCACAGAACATAGAATAAAACAGGTTGGAAAGGACACCTACAAGTCATTTGGTCCAACCTCCTGTTCAAAGTAGGGCCAAGTCTGGACCACTCAACTTCAGCTAAAGTTACTCAGCTTCTTCCTAATCCTTCAATATTTAGGTGAAACATTCAGTAGCTCTTCAGATTCCAGTGAAGAAGTTTTTGCAACTATGAGTGAGATTAGTGGCAGAAACACTCAGTGACCAATCCTATGGAGAAAATAAGGACAAGAAAAATTAACAGGGAGGGGAAAGGAATATAACACACTCCTTTTACAAACAGCATCTGGGTCTATCAGTCCTGTATTGGGCAGTGCAAGATTTTAACAGCTTGGAAAGACAGACCTTTCTTCCCCCTCCCAAATGATGCTCTGTTTGTGCTTCTTTTAAATGGTTCAGCATTCCTGATTGTGTGTTGAAGTGTGTAAACTGCAAAAGGCAATTGCAATTTTATTTGATACCACAATGTATTTTCCTGTTTCTAATGGTAGTAATTATCATCAAGACATCTTAATAATTACTTAAGTATTCATTTGAATTCTGTTTTCTTGTTCAGAAAACCATCTTGGCATGCCTTCTTGTTCTTGCCATTAGTGTGCCACTGTCTGATGCTTCTTGCTTCCTTGAGCCATTCAAGCCAGGAATGTCTGATGGTAAAGTTGTAGGTAAGAAGTCAGCTCTCCTCAACTTGACAGACATTACCAGAATCACTGCCTGATTTGGTTTGCCCATTTTGTGCAATTTATCACAATTTAGGAGTGGAAACAGTGAGAGAAACCAATAGGAAGTGGAGGGGGGAGGGACTGGATATGGAGAGAGAGGAATTTATAATATGTTATAAAAAGAAGAGGTTATTTGAGGAGAATCACACAGTTAAAATTAAAAATTAATTTATAGGCTTGGTTGATCCATCTGCATGAGGTAATAACTCATGTTTTCACTATGGAAGCACAGAGAAACGAGGAGAAGGACTTTTGTCTAAGTGTGTATAGTCACTTCAAAGCAGGAAACAGATTTGGAAGTGTTCAGCACCACTGATAAATTTACTCATGACTTGTTTCCCTTTCCCAAAGCAAATTCTTAGGAACAGAAAGGCTGGTTCCCTTGAGTCTGGGACTGCTCTTCCTGAACACAGCTAGTCTATCAGTCTACAGATGAGTGGAGCTGCAGGAAAATAAGTACTCAAAAGAGAAGCATGCAATTATTTGGACACAAGAAGAGCTGATGTGTGCCAATGTACAAAATAAACTAAGTGTTCTAAAATAGAGCTTTTTCTGGGAAAGCTGATGCTACTACTAGAAAAAAAATGAATTAGCACTGCCAAAGAAATGGAACATTTATAGGCAAAGACACAACCTAGAACACTCACATCCTCCCCTCTCTCTTGTTCTGTTCTCATAAAATTCTGCTTTCCAGATCAGTTATTTAGGAAATCTATTATGTGACTGTTGGACAGGAGCTTTATATCCAAGATGTGCTTTTCTTCCTGCAGCTGAGGACTGGGAAAAGTTTTCCGGGCAGATACAGTCTTGCTCTAAATGAGCACAAGTACTTAAAGATGAGTTACTCCAGGAAAAAGAGGGACACAGGACACTCTTCTCCATGCATTAGAATAGCGTGTCCTGGTCTGCTAGGGAACCTCCATTTTTGCCAGATAGGGATGTTAATGTGAAAAGCCAACAAAGATCCCACCCATTTTCTACAAGCAACAGTGTTAGTGCAAGAGGTCTGACACTGAAGGCTGCTCACATTCTGTGTTTTCAGGCTGCCTTGACTCTGAAGGAGTGGTGCATAAATTCGATTCTAAGTGGAGAAAAAACTGTGATGATTGCTCCTGTTCCAAGCAGGGAATTGGCTGCTGCACTAGGTGAGTGCAGAGCAGCATGGGGCTTTCCTCTCTGCTGGCATGATACAGCACAAAACACTTCCCCTCACACATGGGTTCCTGAGAAATGACCATGCCCCTGCTCTCACTCACTTCATGTCACAAAGACATGTATTAATCCAACACCATCATCACTGAACATGCAAAAAGTTCCTTTGAAAGAATATTTAACAAACGATTCTTGATTTAAAATATAAAGAGAATTTAATTCTTCTTGCAGTTAAAATTTCAGACAAGTTACTGATTCAAGAGAGAACATGTAGTTATTTAAAACATTTTTATTGTTCATAATCCAGATCTTCCCAAAGCCACACATTGCCCCATTTTCCTCTGAGAAGCAGCTAAAGATACACTGTCCTGCCTGTAATTTTTCCTGTGGCAACACCCAACTGCTCATGCAATTCTGGTTCCATACTGTGGGTGAGCAGAAAAAGCAGTGATATTGGAATAGCAAATAAACACAACAGATGTCCCTTGGGTGTAAATCAAATCAGTAAGCTGCAACTCTCCCCTCACTCTGTTTAAGCAGCAGGCTAAGTAACATTTGAGTTGGGAGTTTTGTGCAAGTTCCGTTTCATGCTCCTGAACATCTCGTCAGGATAGTCTCTTCAGATTAAAAGTGTCATCTGAAATGGAAGCTGTTTACTTCTTGGTCTCATCACCTCTTTTTCTTTTCCCAATGACAGCTACATGAGACCAGTGGACTACGACACAGAGAAGTGTGTAAGCATTTTCAATGAGGAGACCTGCTCTTATGAAGTAGTGGAGAAGAATGATCACTCAAAAGAATGCCCAGTCCATTCATGGGTGGGTTAATAAAGAAGAATGATAGATTTGGGGGATATTTCCTTGTATTGTTTTAAGGGTTCTCCCTCACAAATTCAAAACCACTTAAAAATGCAGTTGTTGAGAGAAATCTACTCATAAAATCCAACGCATAATAAAACTGAGTATCTACTCAGAAAGATTCCCTTGGTTTGTCTGTCTTCTGCTTCACCATGAAGAAGGAACTGACCTATTCCTTCCTTGAGATCAGAAATTAAAGCTCATTTTAAAGCATCTTTGGTAGCTGATAATCTTAATTATACTCTAGTCTTTCTTCAGTGCCAGGGAGTATATTCTGTAATCTGTACACAGCTGTACCTTATAGCTAAAATAAAATCAGATGAAGAATCAGAAATTCATGTGACTTATTTTCAATTTGAGGATGGAAACAAAAGAATCAACATTCCAAAAACCATGGGAAAGAATTTAAAACTACTTCCAAAACTTTCTGAACAGTTTTCTGTGTTAATGTCTTATTTGATTAACTTTTATCCTGTATGGCTCCCTGGAGACAAACGTATGAACTGCAAGAGCTATCAGCTACCCAACCTAATCTGGCACTACCACTGCACTGACAGCACAGCAGACCCAGTCCACAACATGAGGTTAGGGTAAAAGAAAAGGTCCTTTATTCAGATTAACTCTTAAAAAATTCAAGTTATTAAATTGGCCAATGGGCAGCACTGTGACTGGATGGAGTGACTGAAATGGACTGAGCTCAAACAGGGAAGAAGCTCAGCAAATCCACCAGAGTAACTGAGAGGGAACAGCTCTCCTTCAGTGCTCTGCTTCATAATCTTTATGGCACATTTATTCAGTTGCCTCTTCCCCCAAGTGACTGTGAGCATCCTATGTCTCCATGCTCTATTTCCCTGTAACAGGAAGGGCATGCCAATGCTTCTGCAGTTCCTCATTTCAAATTATGGAACAAGCATATACCTTGTCAGCAGGGCCCAGTCCTGCTGTCCACAGGGGAAGGGCAAACCTCAGCTTGTGTCAGCTTTGACCTCATGTTCTCCAGTGAGTTATACAGGATTCTAGGAATTACACCCCAGTGTTTTATTCCACCTCTACTTCCCTAATCCTGTTGGCTACTTTCTTTTATTTGCCTGTCACATGCCTTCTTGGAAGAGGACCTGCAGTAATGTACTTTATACAATACTGCACTTGCATTTTATACAAAAGCTGTCAATGTCACCGTGCAAATAGACTGAAAGTGTCACAAAGCCTAAAAGTCACATGAAGAGCAGTGACAACTACATCTACTGAGAAAAAGGTAAGAGGGTTCCTGCATGATTTGAGCTGCATCTGTTCCACTTTCTCCTTTCTTGGCTACACAAAATGTGTGACACTGACTGAGGTCCCGTGCTTCACATCAGCTGAGACACAGGTGTCAACAGACTGCCAAGGCACACATGCAAGATTGGGTTGTAACTGAACCAATGTTCTTGTGAAGCCCAGGAACATGCTAGATGTTCAGAGCTTAACACCCAAAACACTAGTTTGGGAACAAGGGGTATCTCTTCCCTCATTATATTTAGACAGTGGGATTTGACCAAGTACTTACCAGAGCTAGCCTGACAATTTGTTTCTTACAATACCCATTTGTTCTGTAGTTTATCTCCGAACTCACCTGAAACTGACTGCTGTATTTGTATTTTTTTCTAGCATCTACCCCTATCTGGAAGCTACTGGGATCTGCTTATGGCATATTTATGCAGAGAGTCAATTACAGTACGATGTGGAAAGAGCTTTGTAACCAACTACTTAGGCACATGATTAGTCTTGATCTGATGTCCCTTAGCAATAAGGAACTATTTTGTAGAACCAGTCAAAAAATAAGATCCAGAAATCTTCCTCTATTCAGAAAGACTCCAAGCTAGAGAACACAGACCAAGAATAGAGTGGTAACCAAAAAGCAAAGTGCTGTGATGACATTTCTGAAGGCAGTGGTATAAATTTTCTCAGAATTTGCAGAGACATTAATGTCTATGTTTTCTGTGTACAAGAGATCAAATTCTATGCAGTCTTCCAAAAGAGGAGGTGATTTTTCTCCTTCCTGTTATCTTTCTCCTCTCCTTAGTTAATTCCTTTTCTGCATCATTAAAGCCTGCCAATTTGTTTTTCTCCAGTTATTCTGAGCGCACTAGTCTTTTCTATTCTGCTGCAGGTCACGATCCGATCTCTGAATCAAAATGAAATCCACTGCAATCCATTTACCCTGAGCTTCTTGCTGTGTGCTTAAGTTTGGCAGCTTGAGTACTCTCAGAGTAGAAGCAGATGAGGCATCCTATCGTGTACTGTCTGAAAATTGTCCAAAGGCTGGAAGCATTTCACCTCCTGAGTTATTTCAGATGGACTCTACCCAAGCGTCAAGGCCATGATAGAAAGTTTAAAAATCAGACCATTATTCTATCTCTTCTCTTGCAGGTGCCATCCATGTACAGTTAGGATTCGCGTTCTCAGATGAATCTTGCTGTTTACAGCAGCTAGAACATTCAGATTCACGGCCTGTTCCAATACCAAACAGAAAAGACTGAAAAATGTTTGCCTGCCAAGAGGACATGGCAGTTGTGAGGGCATCCTGGTTTGCTGTAGTGGAATAGAGCGTGCACAGATCATTTTGGAGTTTGCATAATAGTCTTCAGCCTTTTTTTATACAGCATGAAGATTTTTCCTTGTGTTATTGCCATCCCAGCAGCAGATGCAGTCCGAGCCCTACGCACAAAGACGAGCCCTACTCTGTACTAGGTTTATTCTTGCTGTAATAAACTGCTTTTACATCAGACTCCAGCTCTTGAATTGGTTTGCTCCAGGTTATTAGTTTCCTGTTTTCCTCTAGCTACTGCATTTCTTGTTTTAGCACTAAAATTCTGTTTTCCAGTGTTCTACTCCAACTCATTGTTCTGGATGACCAGCCCCAGCCCCTTCAGCACTGGTCAAGAATGCTGAAGTTGGGTTAGAATCATTTTGGAATTGTGCTCATATACTCACACATACAATCACAATTCACCTGCCACAAATACTAGTTTGCCTCTTCTGTTTCTGATTCCCACTCTCACCTGCTTGGAAAACTCCAGACTTACCATCCACTAAACAATCTATCCACATTCAATGACTTTGCTTGGCAGACACTGTCCTCATTAGCAGCTGGGCTGTGAGCCTGTTTACTTTCCTCTGCAAGTCTATGCTAAGAGACAGTATATTTGAAGGTGCCTCCTAATGACATCAAGCCTAGCACAGACTCCAGCACTTCAGGGTTGAAGCTATGGGACTTGAAAACACTTCCTGTGAAATTACTGAACCATGGTGCATTGTTACTGGAGGGTTGTTATTTCTGGTTTGACACAGGAAGGGTAGCAGCATGGAGGGAGAGAGAGAGAATTTTTATCAGGGAGGGAAGAGATAGGACAAGGGGTAAAGGTTTTAAAATAAAAGAGGCTACATTCAGATTAAACATAAGGGAGAAATTCTTGAACATGAGGGTGGTGAGACACTGGGACACATTGTCCAGAGAAGCTGTGGATGCCCCATCCCTGGAAGTGTTCAAGGACAGTTTGGATGGGGCTTTGAGCAAGATGGACTAGTGGAAGTTGTCCCTGCCTATGGTAGGAAGGTTGGACTAGGTGACCTTTAAAGGTTCCTTCCATCCCAAAGCATTCTACAGATGTCTTTGTGACTGCAGCAGACTTCCATGTTCAGTTGTAAGGCATGCCCAACACCAAGACATAAGTAAGCAGTGACCAAGGATTTACTTTCTTTTTTAAGGCCAACTAGACATGTACACCCAAATTCCAGAAAAGACAGCCTGAACCAGTGTTCCTACATCATCCAGAGCTATTTAATCACATTTGAAATCCACACTAGCATCTTTCTCCACCACCTGCTAAGACTTCTTATGATATGTGAATCTGTCTGCTATGAAGTAGGAAAGGTTCATTTCATGTCTAATGCAAAAAGCCTCCAGGGAGAAGTCTGCTCTCCTCTTGTTTGCTTCAAGTTTTAACATGGAAACAGATGATGCTACCTATTGCATCTAGTTTTGGAATACCAGAAGCACAGGAGGGACTTGGCTCCCTTCTGCAGCAAGGAGTCTAGCTGCAGGAAGGTGACAAACCCCTCAAAATCAAAAAATCAGAGACAGAGTGTACAAAGTTCTGCTTTGATCTTCTTTTGCCAAGTTATGTTTTGTCTTGGTATTTTCTCTACCCAGCTACAGTCCCAGACAAAGGATACATCCCTCCACCCTCAAAACTCTAGATCATAACACCACTAGCTCCACATAGTGGAAAGAAAACATTCACAAGAGAGTTTGCCCAAATATCCTGTCAGGTTAGAGGTTTAGGAGGCTCTGCAGAACCTTGGGAGGCAAATCAGCCCAGGCAGAGCAGAAGAGGTTGTGTGCTCTCTTCTCCCCAGTTTCCCTCTTTCCTCCTGGTAGCACACAGCTCTCCTGCAAGAAGGAGTGGCAGTTTTGGATAGCTGGCCCTCCACTCCCAGTAATTCTTTTCAGGACAAGTCTTTTGGGCACTGGAAAGGCATTCTTGCCCTAGAAATGAAATCTAGTGCTTAGCCTACCAAGTCTTTTAAACCAAACACCAGAACACACATATAAATATGACACAGGTTTTCCTATTAAACTGTGTTTATCACCTAAGTCTTAATGGTTTTGCACTCATTTGTGTTATGTGTCCAATAAGATTTTTGCCCCAATCTTAAAAAGAAAATCTAACTTCAACAACGAAAGTGCATATCTTGTTTACATTATTCATACCAAAGAAGCTAGAGATTTACAGTTCACATTCTGCTTTGCACCAGTTTTAAAACCTCAGATAAATTCAACTAATGACAATTTTACTTATTCATTTTGGTCTTAGTTAACTCCTTTGTTGATATGCAGGAAAGTTTGCATTGGCAGCTTATCAAAGCCTGAAAATTTTCCGTTCAAATCTAATGTTGTGTGCATGTTTCCTTGGGTCAAAGCTGTAGTTTATTTTAGGGTAAAGCTTATTGGAACTGATTGGCTTTATGACATATATTTACATGAAACTGCAGAACACACAAGTCATATGACCAATCTAAAACACTCAGCAAGATTGGATTACTTTAACATTCCTCCCCACCCCCAAAATTCTGTTTTCCCATTTCATGTCTTTCAGCATGTCTCAAGCACTGATCCATGCTCTTTATGCTTCTCAAGGGATTTGGCATAGTCAATGCTTCAAGTAGATCTCCATTAAGGACCACCAATAAACTGCAGTCCTTTGCCACCACGAGATGACAACCTCCTTCAAAACATGCCAGTATTTCCTCCACTGTAATTCCAGAGACTTATTTGCTGTCCTGGCCTGCTAAAGATCAACAAATCTATAGAGCCTGGAACAAGTAGTTTTGTTTACCAGCTAACTATAGTGGCTCAGAGACTGTGACAGAGTTCATTCCCTAAGCTGTATAATGCAGAAGTCACTCCAGTTTGCAGTATGAAGGACAGGGTAGCTGGACTGGGCTGAAATACTGGCTCAGGACTCTGTAGCAAATGTGCTATCCTGAGTCAAGGTAGAGTCTCATTAGAGTACAGCTCTAATGAGTACATTCATTAGAGCATCTCCCTGAGGCACTTTGCCTCCCCTTTTCAGTTCTTAGTTTGGGACTTGCTCGATCTCTCCTAACAGCACTGTCCCTCAGGCTCCCCATGTCCTGCACATGGAGAAAGCTTTCCAGGGCCTGCAAGAGCTCATTTTATTGAGGTGCTCTCCTGCTCTTGTCCTGCTCCTGAATAAAGGGATGCTGTCCTCACACCAAAGTTGATGGTCAAAGAGAGGTGAGTAGGGGTCTGGCTTAGTGCAGTATTCATTTGAAATTCTTTAGACTCCTGAAGTAATAGACTGAATTACTTAACAAAAGTCTCTGTGTTTTTGCCAGCTTAGTTATTTTTTTCCATCTGTATTTGGCTGTGCAAGGCAGACTATTGAACAAGTTCTTTCAAAGCACAGAGAGTATTGCCTTTTATATCACCAGGAAATTATACAAACAGGTTAGATAAGAGATCAAGTCTGTAATATTATGATGAATCCTGGCAGAGAGATTTGTGTGCATAACACCCAGAAGTTCAGCAATTGTGTGGCTACATGACTAGCCTCAGGTCTATGCTTTTAGGATATAATTACTGCCTTGCATAAAATATATCTCATTAACATCTCCCTTCACTTTCTTTCCATTATCAGTTTTAAATGGGTAACTGTTCTGTCTCTCTACAGCAAGAAAGAGTTCAAAAGTTAAAACAACCAAAATTGTATCAGAGATGGAGAGTGGCATTCCAGCCAAGAATTTCAGAGAAGATGTCAGATTTTCAGCAAACCTAGTGAGAAGTATCAGGAGCCTTGATCGAACAGATTGTTCTAACTACAGTCCAACCACATTAGTACAGCGCATTTATGTACAGATAGTTCCAGAGCTGTCATTTCTTTTTCCATTGTTGTTGGTGTTTTGGGGTTTTTTCTTTTTTTTTTCTCTACTATAAATTCACTGGTCACTACATTACAGCATGGTTTTGTCACAGTGCTCCTGTGCTGGAAGGAATGGATGGAAATGTTGGAGCTACAGAGAACGCAAACTCTAGATCCTGATTCAGCAGGCAGACTTCAGCTCATTCTCATTTTGCTTTACTGAGGTTTAAAATGTAGGTGGCATTTTAGACCTGTCTTTAGTCTGTATCCAAAGAGCTATCATGAATGAGACTGAGCAGTTTTAAGAGTGCTTTTTGAACATGGACATTGACTGGCTTGCCTGAATTACCCTTTACAGAGAAGAAAAATTTAGCAGCAATACTACTTCAGAGTTTCATTCAAGGAATAGATGCACTAGCACCTCTGACTGTTAACTGAGGAAATACAGGAGTTTCCCCTTGCAGCACAGCAGTGCAAGTTGAGTCAGATGTGATGGCTTGTGAAAACATCACTAAGGATAAAAGGGAAAGTTTAATATGAATTATGTTTTTCATAGAAAAAATTATTAAGGGAGTTAATTCTGTTTGGGAAGAAAAGTGACTTCATAAGTTTCCTTAACAGTAGAAGCATTGAGGTGACCAATCTCATGCTTTAAAACTTTTGGGAACCAACTTCTTTCTTACAGAACTTATTGACTTTCAAGAATAGAAAAGGCAGGTGCCAGAAAATAAGACCTTAATCCTTTGAATCAAAATCTCTGAGGTTTTCAACAGCCCATGCCAGTAACCATATTTAATGTCAACTTTAAAAATTAATTGATGTGCATTGTAGTAGTGCAGTGTTCCTTAACTTTGAAACTTCATTTGCTAACCTTATGCCTTTGCTACTGATAGAACTAAAAGTCCCTTCTGCACCCTACCCCCAAGATTTCCAGCCAAATTCCTCAAAGACACTAGTCAGGAGTCAAGATGAAGACAGAGAAACAAATGCTTGTATATCAAGTTAGTCTGTGCAATACCTCCCCCCAAAAAAACCCCGCAGTCACTCAGAGCTGATAAAGCCATGGGCATCATCTGAAAGAAACACAAATAACACAACATGCCACATACAAATCAGGAGTATTGAACAACACATGTGACCAGCTGCTGCTACCATTATCCTCCAGCACTAAGTTGGGAGAAGGATCCCAGGAACAGTTCTGTTGGCTGCCTAGACACTACAGCACACTCACATCATGTAATTGAACTGCAGTGCTTTATTGATCAAAGAGACACGTTTGTAAGAGTGTGGATAGACACAGGACACACAGGCAAAACCAGCACTCTGCATGCAAAAGGCCAAATGGGAGATGCTTAACACAAGTCTTGCTCACTGGAGCTACTACCAGACTCCTGAGACTTCATAACATCAGGTTATCCTGGGGAGCTGGAGAAGGGGTCAGTATGCAATGGTTCAAAGGTACCATTGCCAGGTGTGCTGGCAATGACTTGACTAAAGCCAAGCCCAACAGTGCAGGAACATGAGGTCAGCAGCTTTAGCTGCTTAAGCCAAAGTCTAGCAAAGTCCTATGATCCTCATCCATCAGCTGATCAACTTTGTAGAGCTGCTGCCCCTCTAGTGGCCTCTCCACTATTCCCTTCACCTACTTTGACTTGTGCACAGTTGTTGTCTCCTTAGCAGTGATGACTGTTGTCTTATGAGAGTAAACCATCAAGTAGATATCCATTGCTACCCTAGGGCTTCCTACAGTCCTCCACCACCCGCATACAGATTTCAGATGTCTTAGCAAGAAACCTGTATTTTCAGGAATAGCTGAAGTCAGGACAGAACTGTCATTAGATGAATGGATCCAATGGTGACAAGGAAAGGGAAAAACATACAGGGAGCTGCCTCACCAAACAGACTAAGATCCTCACACCCTGCAAAAGCAGAGCTACTAAGTAATTAGTGTGTATCACCCCACAGAGAGCTTTTAACACTGCTAATGGGCATTTGTATTACTTCAGCTTCTTCCCTGAAAGAGTTTCATTCTCCATTTGTTTTGGCTCATGTGCACCTACCCAACCCAAAAGCCAAGCATGCAGCTCTGATTGCACTCAACACAAGAAAACACAGCACATGAAATGGCTGGGCTTTGTTGGTTCCTAGTCAGGCAAGAGACAAGGACTTCCCTGGCTCCTTTGCATGTTCAGTAAAGACAGAAAAGTTCGTAAGTGCTAAAGTGTTGAGCGTTGTCAAACTAATGGGCAGTATTAAGGTATTTTAGCCTCCTACTGCAGCTCCAGAAGACAGTTGGTCAAAACCCCTGCTGATAGCAGAGGCTCAGATCAGGAGTGCTGGAAGGTGGCAGAACTCTCACTCAGGAGGTCAGAGAGAGGGTAAAAAAAAAGATTATATCTTCTTTTTCTCTGCTAGAGCTATTAACTTGTATGGTCATTCAAGCTAGATTACACCAAAGATAGGCAGGAAAAAATACTGAAAGAATAGAGTTATTGCATCTATTACTAACAGGATGACAGATACTGCTATTTCAGCCTGGCAGAGCCCAGTTCATCCATCCCTCTCATCTAAGTATGGCCATTAACTATCTCTTCATCTCATGCCAGCTCAGACATGCATGTGTGCCTGTTCCAGCTGAGGTTCCCTGTGCTTTGCAGTGTGTTCTCCAGGACAGGGTGAGAACGGTGTAGAGTGATTTTATGAGTGTAGCAAGGCAAATGAAACAAGAGGGAGCTG